TACTAAGTTCAATAAATGAATTAGGCAACATAGCAAGATACAAAATTAACACTGAGAAATTGATGGCATTTTTATACACCCAATAAAGATATCTCAGAAAGAGAAACTAAAATAGCAATCCCATTTACCATTGCAACAAAAAATTAAGATACTTAGGAATAAACTTAACCAAGGATGTAAAAATCCTGTACTGGGAAAACTACAGGATGTTGAAAAAAGAAACAAATGAAGATAATAACAAGTGGAAGAATAGACCATGTTCATGGAATGGTACAATAACCATCATTAAAATGTCCACACTATCCAAAGCTATCTATAAATTCAGCAATCCCCATTAAAATACCAATGATATATTTCACAGATCTAGAACACACACTCCAAAAATTTACATGGAACCAAAAAAGACCCAGAATATGTGCAGCAATCTTCAGAAAGAAGAACGAAGTTGGAGGAATCACAATGCCAGATATAAAGTTATATTACAAAGCCACTGTACTCAAAACAGCCTGGTATTGGCATCAGAACAGGCATATGGGTCAATGAAACAGAACCCAGAAATTGACCCAAGACATTATGCTCAGTTAAAATTCGACAAAGGAGGCAAGAGCATACAATGGAGTAAAGAAAGTCTCTTCAACAAATGGTATTGGGAAAATTGGACAGGTACACGCACAAAAAATGAAACTAGACCACCAACTCACACCATATACAAGAATAAACTCAAATTGGATAAAAAATTAAATGTAAGTTGTGAAGCTATTATAGTCTTAGAGAAACCATAGGCAGCAAAATATCAGACATCTCCCAGAGCAATATGTTTACTGATATATCTCCTAGGACATGGAAACTAAGAAGAAAATAAACAAATTGATCTCCATCAAGATAAAAACCTTCGGCACACTAAAACCAACCATCAACAAAAAAAGAAGAGAGCCCACTGCATGGGAGAATATATTTGCCAATCATACATGCGATAAGGGGTTAATTTCCAAAATATATAGGGAACTCATACAACTTAACAAAAGGAAGACAAGAAATCCAATTTAAAAATGTGCAAAGGACCTACATAGACATTTATCCAAAGTGGACATACAGAAGGCCAAGTGGCATTTGAAAAGTTGCTTAAAGTCACTAATAATCTAAGAGATGCAAATCAAAACAACAATGAGTTATCACTCACACCTGTCAGAATGGCTATCATCAACAAACCAACAAATTACAAGTGTTGGTGAGGATGTGGAGAAAAGGAAATCCAAGTACACTGCTGGTGGGAAGGCAGACTGGTGCAGCCTCTATAGAAAACAGTATGGAGTTTATTATCCTAAGAAATAGGAAACACCAATCAAAAATAATATATGCACCCCTATGTTCATAGCAGCACAATTTATAATAGCTAAATTTGGAAATAGCCCAAGTGCCCATTAGCAGATGAGTGGTTATAAAAACATTTACACAATGGAATACTACCAGCTGTAATAAAGAAAGAACTCTTTTCATTTGCAACAGTATGGATGATCTGGAGAGTATTATGCATGTATACATATATGCATAACCCATGGACACAGACAATAGAATGCTGAAGGCCTGGGGTAGGGGGCAGGTCAGGCTAGAAGAGGTCAATGGGGGAACAAAGGGGACATATATAATACTTGCTACAATATAGATTTAAAAATAAAATATAAAACCAAAAAACAAACAAAAAACCTGTATATGAAATATAAACAAGTATTTAAAGTTAAAAACTGAATGAAATATTACAAAATACAATACTATGTAGCTGTAAAAAAAAAAAAAACGAAGAAGAAGAAGAAGAATCTCTTACCCTTTGAGACAGCATTGAGAGACCTGGCAAGCATTATGCTAAGTGAAATAAGCCCATCGAGAAAGGCAAGTATCACATGATCTCACTCATATGTGAAATCTAATGAACAAAATAAACTGATGAACAAAATAGATCCAGGGACACAGAAGCATAGAACAGACTGATGAATCTCAGAGGGAAGACAGGGTGGAGAGAGGTATGTGGGGAGAGATTAGCCAAAGAGCTTATATGCATGAATGCATAACCCATGGACACAGATAATAGTGTGGAAGTGGACTGAGGGGTAGGGTGGAGAGGGTCAATGGGGAAAAAAGGGAACATCTGTAATATTTTCAACAATAAGGATAAATTAATAAAACAATTCATATATCTCAACACCAAACAAATAACCTAATTTTAAAATGGGCAGAGGAAATGAGCAGACACTTCTCCCAAGAAGACACACAAATGGCCACAGATATATGAAAAGATGCTCAACTTCACTAGCTATTATGGAAATGCAAATTAAAAAACTACAATTAGATACCACCTCATCCCTGTTAGAATGGCTATTATCAACAAGACAATAAATAACAAGTGTTGGGGAGTTGTGAAGAAAAAGAAACCCTCATTCACTGCTCATGGAAATGTAAACTGGTACAGCCACTATGGAAAACAGACAGAGGTTCTTTAAAAAATTAAGGATAAAGATATCATATGACCCAACAACCCCTCATTTTTGTATCAACCTGAAATATTTGAACATTTATTCTCAAAGTCACATGCACCCCTATGTCTATTGCAGCATTATTCATGGTGGCTGAGACATGGAAACAGACAAAATTTACTTCAATAGATAAAAGTTGGTACATATATACAGTAGAATACTATTCAGACATAAGAAAAGATTAAATACTCCCATTGGAGATGACATGGATGGACCTTGAGAATATCATGTTAAATGAAATAAGTCAGACAGAAATGTTGAAGACTCATATTATTTCACTTATATGCGGGATATAAAACTGAAATCAAAAAATGAACAAACAAGAAAAGCAAACAAACAAAAGTTCATAGACACAGATAACAGTATAGTGGTTACCAGAAGAAAGGTGGGTAGCAAAGGGAAAAGTTGGCCTAATATATGGTGATGGAAGATGATTTGATTTTAAGTTGTGGGCACACAATGAAATATGAAGATCATGTATCAGAGAAATATGCATTTGAAACCTATATAATCTTATTAACCAAGGTAACCCTAATGCACTTAATAAAAATAAAAAAATAAAAACAAAATATATTTAATATACCTTAAAAATATAACCAACCATAGAATTCTATGTTGTTTTTATTTATTTATTTTTAAGTAACTGGAAAGATATTTAGAGATTGTGTAACACCATTGATCTCATTTTACAGATAAACAAGCAGATTTTTGCGATTTAGCTACTTAATGAAACACATAGATAATAGATCCCAAGTCATAAAACAGTTTGTTTGTTTGTTTGTTTGTTTGTTTCATGAAACATTTGACTGGCAGATGTTGAAATCAAGGGTTGTTCTTATAAAGGCATGAGAGGCCCAGTGCATGAAATTCATGCATGGGAAGGGGGGTTCCTCAGCCCGCCTGCACCGTCTCCAATCTGGGACCACTCAAGGGATGCCTGACTGCTGATCCTGCAGGGATCGGGCCAAATCCGGCAGTCGGACATCCCTCTCACAATATGGGACCCCTGACTCCTAACCACTCGCCTGCCTGCCTGCCTGATTGCCCCTAACTGCTTCTGCCTGCCAGACTGATTGTCCCCTAAAGGCTCCCCTGCCTGCCTGATTGTCCCCAACTGCCTTCCCCTGCTGACCCGATCACCCACAACTGCCCTCTTCTGCAGGCACGGTCACCTACAACTGCTCTCCCCTGCAGGCCTGGTCGCCCAGAACTGCCCTCCCCTGCCGGCTATCTTGTGGTGGCCTTCTTGTGGTGGCCATCTTGTGGCATCCATCTTTTGGCAGCCATCTTGTGGTAGCCATCCTGTGACAATGTGGGGGCAGCCATCTTGTGATGACGTGGGGGGAGCCATTTTGTGATGATGTGAGGGCATCGCACGAGGGCCTGAGGGCCACCTAGGCTTTTATTAGTATAGATAATCCAGGGCCTATGTGAGTCAGAAGAAAGACACCTGAGGGAGGTCATGGTGCTAGACTTGCACAGCATGTCTCTATCTGAATGAAAGTCCATCCACACACATATTAGAGAGTAATTTTGTCTCCATATATTTATTTTAATCACTTGTTATTTGGATGGCTTCTGACATCCTATGACCCAAATTAATGAGGGCTCTGAACAAGTGGGACCAAGAATTGCTCCTTCCTGGCTCTAAGCAAGGAGAGGTTTCCATTGTGTGGTTCAGCTGTGAAGACTTCACTAAGATACCAGGCAGGTGTCAGTATTTAGCATATTTATTTTTCTCCCGTGAAAAGATTAGCCCCTATAAGATACAGTGTTCACTTAAGATGCCAGTGATCTAGATATCCTATGAGTTGCAGCCTGGTTGCCAAGCACCTTACCCCCTTATCTTATACCACCTCCCACCTCTGAACAACTGCTGCATTAAACAAGGGTGCCCTGGGCCCAGTGTGATGTTTTGATTCACCTTCTACTTTCACATGTGCATTGAGAGTAAACACCTTCATTACCTTCCCTCACACAGTGCAAACACTAAGCAATGAATATGGTATAAAGTAAAACCACAGCCAATTTATTTTATATCCTATTTTACAGAGCATAAACATAGCAATCATCCTCTGTTCCCTCCTTAATTGAATATCTGAAAACTGTATCAAGCAAGTGGACATATTCTGCATACACCTAAGCACGATTGTGACCATCTGCAGTGCAGCCCATTCCTTAGCAGCTAAGTCTCCCTTTCTGACATGACTCTATGGAATTAGGAGGATATGGGTTTTCTTTTCTATGTCTCACATAGATCTCATATTTTATACTTTCATACCCTCTCCTATTTCTCTTCCTTGGCTATTTTTCTCTGCCTAGATCATCTCTAAACACCTTTTCTTTTCAATCTCCCAATGTGACATGAAGTATCATCTAAAGTAATATCTGAAAATATTTGATTTTAAGTATTTAGATTAATTATATTTTTAAACATAAAGGTGATTAAGATGTCCTCTTCTTTATTTTCAGTCATCATACATATTGAAACAAATAACAAATATGAAATTAAGAACAGCCTTGGACAGAAGATTTACTTTGTCACCGAGGATAATAATTGCTGTACCCGAAATACTTGTGGGGCTCATAGGCCTTTTACCATGAGGATTCTTGATCTTATGGGCCAAGAGGTCGTAACTCTGGAGAGACCACTAAGATGTGGCTATTGTTGTTGCCCCTGCTGCCTTCAGGAGGTCAGTGAGTATTTATCCAGGTAATATGTAAAGTAGTTCGACAAAAATTATCACCCTTTCATTGAACCTGTATAATCAAATGAGATTTTCTAAAATTTGGTCCATGAACTATTGTTTTATGCTTGAGAGTAATTGGGAGAGGAAGGGTGGCAGGTGAAAAATAGTGAGCAGTTAGGCCCCTGGCCCTGAGAAGTTCATCTCATGGGAATGAGGTTCTGCTCAGAGTCAGACTTTGGGAAGAGTTGAGAAGATAAAGCATGTTTGTAAAGTCCATTACTTTAAATGACCATGAGAGGTCTGGCTAAAGCCAGAGGAGGGCACCACAGAGAATATCCTAGGATACAATTCCAGGATCAAGTGTACAGAAGAATGAAGAAAAGAACAGATATGTCCATCTCACAATTTTGGCCAACCTATTATGGAAGAAACCTAGGAGATATCACCTTTGAGAAATCTCAAATCCTGTGTTCTTAAGTTCCCCATTTAAAAAATAATATATTTGTGCACCTGTAATAGGTATAATCTAGGTGTGGGTACCTTCAGTTCTATAAAGGCCAGGTGTCTATTTCACATTACTTGTCAGCTCACTGGTACAGAACGTGGATCTCAGGGGAGGCACCAGGGAACTGAAAGCGTACAGGAAAGTTGGTTTTTGCTTGTATCCCTACTGGCCTGAGACCAGCCCTTGCATGGTCAGTCATTCCAGACAAGTAGCTGTAAGAACAGGTCACAGACCGAGTTACAGGCACATAGATATTTGAATTCTAAGACTTCATTTATTTTCAAAAGATAACTGAAGTTATTCCTACTGAATTATGTTGTGTTTTGTCATTTAGCTTAGGTATAACAGTATCTATCCATAGGAATACCTGAGGAAAAACAGAGTTTGGTGGAATATGCTCTGAATGTAAAGCGCACAATAATAAACATCATATTATTGACCTTAGAAAATAGTTTAGGACAATGTCACTTACACATGAGCATGCTGAGGAACTCCCTAGGTCACCCCGCTAATAGCAGAGCCAAATTTTCAGGCCCCAGTTCCTTTCCATTATAGAGCCATCGCCACTCAGATTTGAAAATTTCACCAGCAATCAGGATTCTATTCATACATCTAAACCACTGTTTTTATAGGAGTTTGAGAAAAGAGTTCCTTAAAAAATTTCAACAAGTTTCATAAGTATGGAAATTTTTAAATGTACAGGTTGGGAGAGCAATGCTTAAGAGTGGAGTCTATGCATGCAGCCTGTCCGACTGTGTGACTCATCTTGTCTACTTTGCAGCTAGAGAATCTGATACAAGTTAGTTAACTCTCTGTTCTTCAGTTACTTTCTCCATAAATATGAATAATAGCACCAATCTGGTGTTTGTTGTCAATTAAGTATTGCGTAGAACAGTATCTTTTACTTAGAAGTCGGCAAAGGAGGTGAATAGACATTTTTTCCAAAGAATTAATAAAAGTGGCCCAAAGATGTTTGAAAAGTGTTCAACATAGCTAATCATTAAGAAAATTAAAACCAAAACCACTATGAGATGTCACATTACCCCTGTTAGAATGGTTGTTATCCAAAAACAAGACATAATTTGGCAAGGGTGTGAAGATAAGGGAGCACTCGTACACTGTTGGTAGGAATATTAATTGTTACAGCCATTATGAAAAACAGCATACGATCCACCAATCCCTCTTCTGGGTATATATGCAAAGGAAATGAGGTCAGGTTTTCAAAGAGATATCTACATTTCCATGTTAATTGCAGCATCAATTACAATAAACAAGATATGGAAATAACCTAAGTTTTGGTTGATGGATTCATGGGTAAGAAACATGATTTAGATATAGATATATAGATACACACAATGGGATATTATTCAGCCAAATAAAAGAAGAAAACCTTGCCATTGAGACAACATGGATGCACCTAGAGGCCATTGTGCTGAGTGAAACAGGTAAGACAGAAACAGACAAATGCAGTATGGTATCACTTACATATGGAATCTAAAAACAAAAACAAAAAACACTAATTCGTCAAAATAGAGATTTAAATAGTGGTTGTCTAGGACTGGGGAGAGGAGGATAGGGAAATGTTGGACAAACTACACCAACTTTTAGTTATAAGAGGAATAAGTCCTGAGGCTCAAATGTACAGCATAGTGAGTATAATAACACTATGTTGTATACTTGAAATTTGTCAAGAGAGTAGGTCTCAAGCATCACTATATGAGGTTATTGATGTGTTAACTAACCTGATTGTGGTAATCATTTCACAATGTATATGTATATCAAATCATCACATTGTACACTTTAAATATATTACAACTGTACTTGTCAATTATACCTCAATAAAACTGGAAAAGAAAATTATTGCCCATTCCAAAAAATGCACTTAATGAATGAAAGCTCTTATTAGACATGAGTGATGATGATTATGACAGCAATGATTACACATTACATATATTATTTTACAGATAAAAATCTATGCTCCTCCTGGTACACCAATAGGTTATGTTATTCAGACCAAGCACCCATATGTGCCTAAGTTTACAATTCAAAATGAGAATAAAAAGGATATACTAAGAATTATCGGTCCATTTTTTGCATGCAAATGTTGTGGAGATGTTGATTTTGAGGTAAGAGATATGATAATTTTTATAAGATTTGAGGTAAGAGATGTGATAATTTTTATAGGATTTCCTTACATTTTCCAAATGTAGGGAAAATATAATTTTGTGGGAAGTTACAAATATATTTTTAAAAATGTGTATCCTAATTCTCAAACGGGAGACAATGTGCTCTATATTTAACTTTGGTCAGAAAGGAAGTTATTAATCTCATTGAACTTCAGTATTGATTATGCTAAGTCAAAAAAAGAAAAGTGGAACCCTGCACTCAAATAAATATAAACAAAACAAGTAATATTTCAATGTGGTGGTTTCTGTATAGAGGTCCTATACATTATCCGTTTTGAATAGAATGTTAGCCTTGTCATCTAACCTTTGTCTGACTGACAAAGCCTTAATGATCCTTCCTTAGTCTGAAACACAGGCTGCCAGTGCTCTTGGCCCTCTTCAGAAGGTCTGACATCTTTGAGTTCCTACAAAAAGCCAAATTATGCAAAGAGAGTTTTCAGAAATATAGTGTAAGATGTGCTACCCAGTTATGCTTCTCTGTGTTCTCTCCTTTACCTTTGTATTAAATTTGATTGTTAGAAACCACAATATATCTGTATACTTACTACATGGAGCAATTTCATCACAGCAGTTTTCCAACAGATGGTCTAGCCTTAAGTCCAAATTATTTAGTAGCAAATATTTAAAAATCAGGAAATTTTATGAGCTAATCTTGACATGATTCTCTTGGAAAATCATAAAAATCTGTTAAACTGGGCTCACATTTTCACAGAAGGGGCAAAAATATCCTACAACTAACTGAGCATGGATGCTCTGCCACTTTCCCAACTTCCACAGGCTTTCCAATATTCCCTTCATTTTTTTATATTTCTTGGCTGACTTCCCCAGCTATGTGATTTTTCAATTCTTCTGTTAGACCCTGGTTATGTAAATATTAATTATTTCCTCCATGGATTTAACAGGCTCATGACAGAAATGGACAATTCTAAGAAGACACACACAATGTAAAGGCTCTTTTAAAAAAATGTATCTTTATTATCGGAAGTATCACAGATGTCCCCCTTTTTTCCCCACTGCCCCCTTCGCCCTGCACCCACCCACCAGGCCTTCACTGCACTTTTGTTTGTGTCCATGGGTTAGGCATACATGCATATAAATTCTCTGAGGAATCTCTTCCCATCCCCTATGTGGAATATGTATAATGTTTATGTTTGTGTGTGTGTAATATGCATGTGTAAGAACTTTATATAGATGTATGTAAAATAATCATTCCTTATGTAGGATATGGCATATGTATCAAAGATCCAGAGGAGTGGAAAGATAATTACTCATTTGGGGAACAATATTAATGGAAGTTTAGCTGTCATGTATTTATTTTGGAGAAATTGGTGAAACTAAAAAAAATGTGAAATTATTATAGTTAATGCTAAGGAATTTAGATTGCATCCAGCATGCATTTGCAATAGAATCCTTAGAGCATTTATTATATGTAATAAATTAACTTCTATGCATCTAGAATGATGCGAACTAGGTACCATCTTTCAGAGATTTGAGAAATGATCATTTGAGTCAATTTCTTTTTTTATATAAAACAAAATAGACTCTATTTTTTATGTTTTCTTTTTTAACTTTATTTTCTTATTGTTGACACTATTACAGATGTCCTCATTTTCCCCTCCTTTGCCCACCTCCACCCAGTCCCCTACCCTCTGGCCACCACCACACTGTTGTCTGTATTTATGGGTTATACATGCATGTTCTTTGGCTAAGCCATTCACCTTCTTTCAACCAGACCCCTCTCTATCCTACCCTTGACACTTAAATTAGGAATTTTGAGTATGAGGGACCACAATGGAATATGGACTACATCATGGTGTCAGTGGTTATGAAAACTTGGGGTAGAAAAGAGATAAAAGCCTGAACACAGCAGGGGTTGTTCCATAGGAAGAAATAACTCAGTGATATTTTATAAATATATTGAATGGACTGCCTCATAAATTTGATGTCAATTGAGAATGAAAAAACATCTGGAGATGAATCTATGTCTGAGAATTAAGAAGCTTAAATAATGTGTTTGGCAATGATAAGAATCTTGAAGGAGAAACAGTTGAGTTTCTCCTTCAAGCTACTGATTTTTATTTGAGTCAAGTTGAGTTTTAGGTATGTAAAGAAAAATATTGGAGTGTTTTCACATACACATAGTAGTTTAAGCCATGAGAAGATTATCCCAATGGTGTGGAGAAGACAATAGATTCTCATCTACATCCTGTAGAGATGATAAGGGAATCTGTCTCCTTCCAAGACTCTTGGCAAGGGAAAAACATGTACACATTAAACTGATATCCCAATCCAGGCCCCTTTATGAATTTGAAATCTGAATCCACACCATTATTATGGTATGTTTAGGAGTCTTAATACATAGAAATAGATCCTGAGTGGCAGGATCAAATGGGAAAGCACACTAGAAGGAGATTAATCACCAAAGAAACCTGCTATTCTTACAGAGGAGGGGGAATCTATCTTTACATTAACATATTTAAAAATTGCATAATTCCCTAGGAACCAAGAATAAACTGCATGCAATAGAATAGCTTGCAAGCATACAAAAACACTTAAACAGTAAAGAGACTAAACAAAAAAGGGAAGAATGATACCAATAATAAAGGACAGGAGTATTTGAAGATAAACCAAATAGAACCTCTGAAAATGAAAAATAGTCATTAATAAAACCTCATTGGAAAGATTGAGCTGCAAACTAGATACAGGTGAAGAGAACTGGATTATCCATATTTGGAAAATAAATAGGTGAGGAAAGCATTATAAATTTGAAGGGACAAAATAAAACTGAAGGGAGATAGAAGAAAAAACTACTCTTCCGTATGTCAAAGAGGAGCTACAGTGAAAGAGAATGCACTGAGATGCTATTCAAAGAGATAAATGACAGAAAGTTGCTAACTTGATACCATGCACCCTCAGATTCAAAAAGTACAAGGAGTTCTGTGTGTGAAAAAAAAAAACACACAAAAACCTGACACTCATATATAACTAAGGTAAACAGGAAACTTCAAATTATAAAAGAAAATATAAAATATGCAACTGTGGGGTTCCAAACAAGATGGTGGCATAAGTAAACATGGTACTTGAATCCTCCCACAATTATATCAAAATTATAACTAAACTAGAAGAAAACCATCATTCACAACAATTTGAAATCTAGCAGAATATAAGTCCTGCAACTAAAGATATAAAGAAGAAGCCACATTGAGGAGGAGCAGAGAATCTTTGCAACTGATAAGTTTGGGGACAAATCCCTCCCACTATGTATGAACAGCAATCAAGGCTCAACTACAACAAGAGGGTGTACACAGCCACACAGAGGGCACATCTGGAGTGCCAGACTGGGGTGATCAGGGAGGCTCTGCCACTGGACCCTGCAGAACACCTACTACATAAGGTGACTCTACCAACCCCAGGTAATATAGCCAGTACATAGAAGGAAACACAAGTAGTCAGGCAAAATGAGGAGACAAATAAATATGTCCCAAATGAAAAAGCATAACAAAATTCCAGAAAAAGAACTAATAATAGAGACAGCAGTTTATGAAATTCAGAGTTCAAAACACTGGTTATAAGGATGTTCAATGAATTTAGGGGAAGAATAGATGGACTCAATGAGAAGTTCAACAAAGATAGAAAACATGAAAAAGAAGCAGTCAGAAACGAAAAATGCACTGGCTGAGATGAAGAGTACATTACAGGAAATCAACAATAGAGTGGATTAAGCATAGGATCAAATTAGAGATTTGGAAGATAAGGAAACAGAAAACAGCCAATTAGAACATCAAAAATAAAAGGGAATCCACTAAATGAGGATAGTATATGGAGGCTTGGGACAACTTCAAGTGTACCAATGTTCAAATCATGGGAGTGCCAGAAGGAGAAGAGAAAGATCAAGGAATATAAAAAATGATGACAGAAAACTTTCCTAACTTGCTGAAGGAAATAGTCATACAAGTCTAGGAAGCACAGAGAGTCCCAAACAAGATGAACCCAAAGAGGCCTACACCAAGACACTAATTAAAATGCTAAAGGTTAAAGACAAAGAGAGTATCTTTAAAGCAGCAAGAGAAAAGCAGTGTTACCTACAAGGGAGCTTCCATAAGACTGTCAGCTGATTTCTCAACAGCAAGCAGTGGCAATAAATATTCAAAATGATTCAGAAGTTACTCTACCCAGCAAAGCTGTCATTTAGAATTGAAGGACAGATAAAGAGCTTCACAGAGAAGAAAAAGCTAAAGTAGCTGTAAGAAATAAGGCAAGCCCCCCCAATCCAGGGGTCCTGATAGAACACAAAACATACTCGGGAGCCAGGCAGCAAGGCAAATATCTTTACTTCTACGTAGAAGGGTGTGCACACATGGTATGAAAGCACGTGCATGAGCAGGTGGTCTGTTTGGCTTTATAGTCTCTGACATGCATGACCTGTCCCTTACTCTTGATTGGAGCTCAGGCGCACAGTCTTTCCTGATTGGCTAGTTCAAAGGGAGTGGTTGGCTTTTGCTGTTTCAAGATGGCGGCTTCCAGGGGTGCTGCAAGCCAGTGGCCAACATGGTGGCTGCCAAGTCATGCAGTCCAAAATGGTAGCTGTCTAAACTGTTCTTTGGCAGGGAAGATGATTTGTTTTTTTCTCACAACTCCCCCTTTCCTTTATTTAAACTCTTTTCTTCAAAATTGGCTGACATTCATTGACTTTCATGCTCTACAGTGTCTAGGAGAAGACTAATTTGCTGTTTGGTCAATGCGGTTTCAATTAACCCTTGGATAAGAACCCCCATCCCCATACATGGGATGATGTAACATCCCATCACTATAACTTCTAATCAAAGGGGTGAATGTGGACACCATTGCTCTAGTGCAGTGATGGCGAACCTATGACATGCATGTCAGAGGTGACACACGAACTCATTTTTTTGGTTGATTTTTCTTTGTTAAATGGCATT